AAGTAGTGAGGGAACTTTTTTAGTTTTTTTTAAAATGAATTTTAAAAAGTGCTTTTGGGACCAAAATGGCACACTTTGACCCCCATTTTCTCTGGATTTCTACAGTAAAAGTGAATGATATTTTACACAGTGGTAGAGGGCATCCCAGTGAACAAGTTTGCAGTGAAATCAGTCAGGGAACTTTTTTAGATTTTTTTAAAATGATTTTTAAAAAGTGCTTTTGGGACCAAAATGGCACACTTTGACCCCCATTTTCTCTGGATTTCTACAGTAAAAGTGAATGATATTTTACACAGTGGTAAAGGGCATCCCAGTGAACAAATGTGCAGTGAAAGTAGTAAGGGAACTTTTTTAGTTTTTTTAAAATGATTTTTAAAAAGTGCTTTTGGGACCACTTGTGCACACTTTGACCCCCATTTTCTCTGGATTTCCACAGTAAAAGTGAATGATATTTTACACAGTGGTAGAGGGCATCCTGTTGAACAAGTGTGCAGTGAAAGTAGTGAGGGAACTTTTTTAGATTTTTTTAAAATGAATTTTAAAAAGTGCTTTTGGGACCACTTGTGCACACTTTGACCCCCATTTTCTCTGGATTTCTACAGTAAAAGTGAATGATATTTTACACAGTGGTAAAGGGCATCCCAGTGAACAAGTGTGCAGTGAAAGTAGTGAGGGAACTTTTTTAGATTTTTTTTAAATGAATTTTAAAAAGTGCTTTTGGGACCAAAATGGCACACTTTGACCCCCATTTTCTCTGGATTTCTACAGTAAAAGTGAATGATATTTTACACAGTGGTAAAGGGCATCCCAGTGAACAAGTGTGCAGTGAAAGTAGTCAGGGAACTTTTTTAGTTTTTTTTTAAAATTAATTTTAAAAAGTGCTTTTGGGACCAAAATGGCACATTTTGACCCCCATTTTCTCTGGATTTCTACAGTAAAAGTGAATGATATTTTACACAGTGGTAGAGGGCATCCTGGTGAACAAGTGTGCAGTGAAAGTAGTGAGGGAACTTTTTTAGTTTTTTTGAAAATGAATTTTAAAAAGTGCTTTTGGGACCAAAATGGCACACTTTGACCCCCATTTTCTCTGGATTTCTACAGTAAAAGTGAATGATATTTTACACAGTGGTAGAGGGCATCCTGGTGAACAAGTGTGCAGTGAAAGTAGTCTGGGAACTTTTTTAGATTTTTTTAAAATGAATTTTAAAAAGTGCTTTTGGGACCACTTGTGCACACTTTGACCCCCATTTTCTCTGGATTTCTACAGTAAAAGTGAATGATATTTTACACAGTGGTAGATGGCATCCTGTTGAACAAGTGTGCAGTGAAATTAGTCAGGGAACTTTTTTAGATTTTTTTAAAATGAATTTTAAAAAGTGCTTTTGGGACCACTTGTGCACACTTTGACCCCCATTTTCTCCGGATTTCTACAGTAAAAGTGAATGATATTTTACACAGTGGTAGAGGGCATCCCAGTGAACAAGTTTGCAGTAAAATCAGTCAGGGAACTTTTTTAGATTTTTTTAAAATTATTTTTAAAAAGTGCTTTTGGGACCAAAATGGCACACTTTGACCCCCATTTTCTCTGGATTTCTACAGTAAAAGTGAATGATATTTTACACAGTGGTAGAGGGCATCCTGGTGAACAAGTGTGCAGTAAAAGTAGTCTGGGAACTTTTTTAAATTTTTTTAAAATGAATTTTAAAAAGTGCTTTTGGGACCAAAATGGCACAGTTTGACCCCCATTTTCTCTGGATTTCTACATTAAAAGTGAATGATATTTTACACAGTGGTAAAGGGCATCACAGTGAACAAGTGTGCAGTGAAAGTAGTGAGGGAACTTTTTTAGTTTTTTTTAAAATGAATTTTAAAAAAGTGCTTTTCGGACCAAAATGGCACACTTTGACCCCCATTTTCTCTGGATTTCTACAGTAAAAGTGAATGACATTTTACACAGTGGTAAAGGGCATCCCAGTGAACAAGTGTGCAGTGAAAGTAGTGAGGGAACTTTTTTAGACTTTTTTAAAATGAATTTTAAAAAGTGCTTTTGGGACCAAAATGGCACACTTTGACCCCCATTTTCTCTGGATTTCTACAGTAAAAGTGAATGATATTTTACACAGTGGTAGAGGGCATCCCAGTGAACAAGTGTGCAGTGAAATCAGTCAGGGAACTTTTTTAGATTTTTTTAAAATGATTTTTAAAAAGTGCTTTTGGGACCAAAATGGCACACTTTGACCCCCATTTTCTCTGGATTTCTACAGTAAAAGTGAATGATATTTTACACAGTGGTAAAGGGCATCCCAGTGAACAAATGTGCAGTGAAAGTAGTCAGGGAACTTTTTTAGTTTTTTTTAAAATGATTTTTAAAAAGTGCTTTTGGGACCACTTGTGCACACTTTGACCCCCATTTTCTCTGGATTTCCACAGTAAAAGTGAATGATATTTTACACAGTGGTAGAGGGCATCCTGTTGAACAAGTGTGCAGTGAAATCAGTCAGGGAACTTTTTTAGATTTTTTTAAAATGAATTTTAAAAAGTGCTTTTGGGACCACTTGTGCATACTTTGACCCCCATTTTCTCTGGATTTCTACAGTAAAAGTGAATGATATTTTACACAGTGGTAGAGGGCATCCTGGTGAACAAGTGTGCAGTGAAAGTAGTGAGGGAACTTTTTTAGTTTTTTTTAAAATGAATTTTAAAAAGTGCTTTTGGGACCAAAATGGCACACTTTGACCCCCATTTTCTCTGGATTTCTACAGTAAAAGTGAATGACATTTTTTACACAGTGGTAAAGGGCATCCCAGTGAACAAGTGTGCAGTGAAAGTAGTGAGGGAACTTTTTTAGATTTTTTTAAAATGAATTTTAAAAAGTGCTTTTGGGACCAAAATGGCACACTTTGACCCCCATTTTCTCTGGATTTCTACAGTAAAAGTGAATGATATTTTACACAGTGGTAAAGGGCATCCCAGTGAACAAATGTGCAGTGAAAGTAGTCAGGGAACTTTTTTAGTTTTTTTTTAAAATTAATTTTAAAAAGTGCTTTTGGGACCAAAATGGCACACTTTGACCCCCATTTTCTCTGGATTTCTACAGTAAAAGTGAATGATATTTTACACAGTGGTAGAGGGCATCCTGGTGAACAAGTGTGCAGTGAAAGTAGTGAGGGAACTTTTTTAGTTTTTTTTAAAATGAATTTTAAAAAGTGCTTTTGGGACCAAAATGGCACACTTTGACCCCCATTTTCTCTGGATTTCTACAGTAAAAGTGAATGATATTTTACACAGTGGTAGAGGGCATCCCAGTGAACAAGTTTGCAGTGAAATCAGTCAGGGAACTTTTTTAGATTTTTTTAAAATGATTTTTAAAAAGTGCTTTTGGGACCAAAATGGCACACTTTGACCCCCATTTTCTCTGGATTTCTACAGTAAAAGTGAATGATATTTTACACAGTGGTAAAGGGCATCCCAGTGAACAAATGTGCAGTGAAAGTAGTAAGGGAACTTTTTTAGTTTTTTTAAAATGATTTTTAAAAAGTGCTTTTGGGACCACTTGTGCACACTTTGACCCCCATTTTCTCTGGATTTCCACAGTAAAAGTGAATGATATTTTACACAGTGGTAGAGGGCATCCTGTTGAACAAGTGTGCAGTGAAAGTAGTGAGGGAACTTTTTTAGATTTTTTTAAAATGAATTTTAAAAAGTGCTTTTGGGACCACTTGTGCACACTTTGACCCCCATTTTCTCTGGATTTCTACAGTAAAAGTGAATGATATTTTACACAGTGGTAGAGAGCATCTTATTGAACAAGTGGGCAGTGAAAGTATTCGCAAACCTCTTTTTGTTCTTTTTAAATGATTTTTTAAAAGATAAAGCATTTAGCTTTCTCGTCGTCACGGCTTCCCTTTCCACATTTACCGTAAGTAACAGCATAAAAGAGCCAACCGCATTCAAAGTGCGGACCTCTTTACCGCTCCCGACGAAATGCAGGGCCACTTTACCGCGGTTCAATAACTGTGGGCTCCTTGTGGCGGCTGAGTCTCCTGACCCAGTGCTGAGTCCAATTGGGTTTCCAGGCTCATACGGCGGCGGCGCACATCCATGCTCCAGATTGCACGCAACTAAGTATTACATAACTCCAACTTGAGGGTTTGAGCTGGGGGGGGGGGGTCGGCCTACTTACCCCCCCTCCTCTCTCTCTCTCTTCCTGAGGCTGGCCCGCCACCATCCCAGCTCAATGGGAGAGACGCAGGGAGGAGACTACTGCTGAGAGCATTGTGCGTGTACGTGTGTGAGGGAGGGAGCGAGGGAGGGAGGGGTGAAACAGAGAAGGAGGAGGAGGAGGATGAGGAGGGGAGAAGGGGGGGTGAGACAGAGTGCACGTGGTGCTGTGGGCGGACCGTAGCACGCGGTATGCAGGGGGAGGGGTGAAGTGTCTGACACGTCATCAAAGGGCACAAACACACACACAAAAAGCAGACCCCCCCCTCCCCTCGCTCCCCTCCCTCTCTCTCTCTGTATTATCCTCATAGCAGTCACAATCTTTGGCACCGCGTTGGTTTGACTTCGTTGTGAGACATGAGAGATGTTTGTTTGATGAAGCCAGTGCGCGCGCCTACGTTACGTTACGTTACAAAGCGGCTGGTGGAGCGTGTGCGTGTGTGTGTGTGTGAGGTCCCGCCCCGGTGTGTGTCACAAGATATCCTTCTGAGCCGTGTCAGAGCATTATGTAAAGAACAGCCTCCGCTCGCCACCGCCCTGGAGAGACTCGACGCGCAAAACTGGGCCAAACCCAAAACTAAAGGCTGAGCACGGAGAACCAGCGCAAAGACCTGTGAAACCTAGAGCCACACAGAGCCACACAGAGCCCGCTGTGGTCAGATACATGTGAAGACAGCAGACACAGGAGGGTTCTGTCTGTATTAGGAAAGTTATATAAGGTTTCAGACATGTGGAACTCTACGCTCTTTCTTGTGCATCAAGTTGTTGTTTTGAACTTTTTATAATAAAGTCAAGTTTCCTCTGAGAGGGTCTGTGTGCGCGTTGATCGTGTCGCTGCCCTGCACTATAGTTTGCGCCTGTGGGACCTGCGCTGCACAACAAAGATAGTGCTCATAAAGATAGTGCACGTATAAGGAGACGCTGACAGGAACTCCTCAAACACACACGCAGTGACTCACTCTCTGTTGCAATGCTCCCTTCACAGACAGAGACCCAGAGAAATAAAGTCCTGGTTCACAAACACAGACTAAAGCCGGCATAAGACCCACAGCGCCCCGCTCGAACTTATCCAGGCGCCTTCTCTGAGCCGCGGGCAGAGAGGCGCAGGAGCTGGGGGCTGGAGCTCAGGGACAGACGCTGCAGTCTCACTCACCACGTGTGCTCTGTTGTTGCTGGGCTTGCCATTCCAGGAACCTGGCCGCCTCCAACAGTGTGTCGATGCTCATTGCGCGTAAATGCTCCGTGGTCCCGGACCCGGTGTCTGCAGAGGCGGAGAAGAGCGAGCTGTGAGTCCGCGGGAAGCACACCTTAGTCCCTCGCAGCTGGACGCCTGCTGCCGGTCTTCAACACACAGAGATGTGGAACACGGAGGAAACTACGGCAGATCCACGCATACGTAAAAATAGGATTGCAACAAGATGGCGATGCGAGCACGGGAATACACACAACAAGGCGAGTCGTGTTCTCCTGAGGCCCGCCCCGTTACTACGGTCTGATCCAAGACACGGCTCTGCAGCCGCAGCGCCTCATGGATCTGATGCACTGATGCACCACGGTCTGTGCCCTGTCTGTCACATCTGCCCTGTCTGCCCTGTCTGCCTCTGCGGGAGGACAGCGGCTGCGGCTGGACGTGCATGTGTCTATTAGCCTCGTGTCTTCTGTTCCTCGTCTCTCGATGAACCGTGAAACATAAACACAAACATGAAGCTGAAAGTCCAAACCTCTCTGTCAGAGACGTCACGTCATACCGTCAGTTACCGGGTCAATATCCAACATGCAAAACACAGAAGGGAAAACATTCCTTATTTCTGAAACGTCATGTAACAAACACAGAGGCATTTGTTCAAACACATCTGAAGGATTCTCCAAAAGAAGGTCAGTGAGTTCTGCAGCGCGGCTCAGTCCGGTCTGATCCAGTTCCAGGATTTAGAAACCACCCTCAGCCCGCAGCGCGTGAAGCCCGATGAGGCAGCGCACAGCCAATCAGCGGCCAGAACAACAAGGCATGGTGCTGGTCCACATGGGCACCCGCCCGGCCTGAGCAGCCTCATTTGCATGGCGAGAGCGTGACTGGCCACCCCGCCGTCTCTAGCTCCACGCTGTCACTCAAAGAGAGGGGCGGGACTTCAGGGGAACGTGCACTCAGCTTTTATTCTGTGACTTAGGCCAAAGAAGACTGCCTCGCCCGGAACAAGGATTAAGGAAGTGAATGTTTCTGATAAGTTGTGTTCCACGTATCTCTACTCTGCTCTGCGCACTTTCACTTTCACTTTGGCTCCTGTTGCAAACAGAACAATGTCACACAGAGCAGCAAACATGACACTTCATGACACTTCACAGCAGGAGAGCAGGAGTTGAAACATCAAGGGCTAAAATATCATCTATCTGTATACCACAGCTCCCAGACCATAAACTAGTCTGTTTTGTGCATTTAAGATTAAAAAATATCACACTTTATTGATGTCACAATGAATAAATGTACATGTTATATTTTAGTCAGAGTGTGCTCCATCTCTGTTTTTCATCACTGATCATTTGTGTCATGATCGAAAGGTCTGACTAGATATCCTCCACAGAGAAGCTACCTTATAGAGCCCTGCGAGAGAACCCAGGCAAGAGCCCCTGCTCGGACTACAGCATCGGCTCTGAGCTCCTCCACATCAAGGAGGCAGTGACGTGGCTCAAGCACCTGTTTGGGATGACCCTGGACTTCAGAGAAGACCCTGGACCTCAGAGAAGAGCCAGGACAGGCCACAGGGACTGTGTCTTTCAGCCTGGGCATGCCACAGGACTTGCCCAGATGAGCTGGAGAGGTGTGTGTAAAGTCTGGACATATCTCTGCTCAGCCTGATGTCTTCACGACCCGGAAGACACTGCTCAAGTTTCCAAATAGGTATAACACTCACACTCCCAGAGCAGCGTATATGTTTGGTCCTCATAACTTTATTTCTACTACATTATTTTTTTATTAGATTATCTTTCATTTTGAAACGTGAGCAGTTAGTTATCATAGCAACACACTGTTTACTTGCCAGCAGTCAACATTTTGTAGCTTTGGTTGCAATTTTAAGATGATCATCAGTCTAAGCTCTCAGTAAAAGTGAGTTAAGGTAAAAAAAAATAAGAAATAAAAAACCTGGTAGAATATTCTAAATCTTGGGGGGGATTTCTCAGAATTCCATTGGTTTGAACGGGAGCAGTCAAAATGACGGTTCTGGGAGTTCTTGTGGTCTCATATTTCTGGGAGTCCTAGTATTGATGGATGAAGATGTACTCTGTCTCCTCAATACTGAGGTGAGTTGGTGACAGCCTGTGATTGGTCTGAAAGTCAGTCATATGTTTTACAGGAAATGATTCAAACATCATATAACTTTATCATAAGCAGCGTGTCACATGACCAACAACACAGACTGAATTTAGGTGCAAAAAAATGAAAACGGGATAATATATTGGCATTCAATAAAACACACATGGCAGAGCTCATTAGCAAACAATGACCTAGAATCCAATCATTCACTGAACTTTTGAAAACAAATGAATGCAAAATATGGGAGTGTCTCTGCAACAAGCTGATGAATGAGGGGGAGGAGGATGAGAAGAAGGGGGAGGAGGATGAAGGGAGGAGGGGGAGGCAGAGCACATGGTTAGCACATGAGCTGCAGTGTGGAGGGGGGGGGGGGGGGGAAGAAAAAGAAAGAAAAAGCAAGTATATGTGAGTACAGAGGAGACGGCGCGGGCAGCTGGGAGGGTCTGACCTACATAAGTGCTGCATCAGAGCATCCACAGACAACAGCCAATCAGGACACGGCTCGAGGCCTTTTTTCCACCGGTCGTGAGAAGACGTGAGGAGAGAGCCGCTAGAATGACGGCTTTTATGAACGCAAAAGAGTGGAGGAAGTTCACATGAGCAGCTCATATGTTAAAGATGCATATCAACGTTAGGTTGATCAGAAATTCTGAAACAACAGGAGTCCCAGAGAGCAGTCATTTTGGCGGCTCCCATTCAATTCAACGGAGAATTCTGAAATATTCCCTAAAAAAAGTTCACCAGTTTTATTAAAGTCAAGTAATTCATAATAGGTTTAACTTTACTCACTTTTAATAAGAGCTAAAATGAATGTTTAATTAAACTTCAAATAGAGCAAAAACAGTTTTTTGTTGTCATGCTAAATGCTAAAGACGAAATGCTAACGCCGAGTGTAAACAGCGTGTTGCTATGGTAACTAACACTTTCTCTTCTTCGGTGGAAAAGGGGCGTTAACTGCCAGAGAATGTTGGTTGCCATGTGACCAGAAATAACTACATTTGAAATTGGCCGTCAAATTGGCTCTCCCCATTCAGGTGGCACCAGAAGGCACACATTTCTATTAAAAGATTGTTATTTGAATATTATGGGATGGATTTACACGACTAATACAAAAAACTAAACATGTGGAAGCCTATATCTTTGCTACAGATATGTTTGACCTATGAGAGACTATATTAATACATAGTCCATAATTACACCATCCTCTGCTCATGCTGGTTTTAACTTGTTGTTGCATAATACGTAGTTTTTACCACTGATATATTTGTCTATTCATCCTGACAGCGTTCTGCAGCCTGCACTCCCTTTGCTTTACCACTAGAGGCCGCCACTGCACCACCGCATCACACCCACAGAGTATACATTGTGACAGCTTCGGAGCGGATTAAAACCAGGGTAAATAGTTCCTGACTCTGAAAACAATTTGGTGTCACTAGTTTTCTCATGCAAGTATGTTTAGCCACATGAAAAAGAAAGGAGCACCCGCACTCAGCTGATCTCTAAGCTCCAAGCAACTCAAAATTCTCTTCTTACAAGTAAGTAAAGTTAGGTACCCCAGCTTTAACGTACACAAAATGACACTAATCCACGGTATAGTGCAAATCCTTCTTTATTTATATGCATTAAACAGCGAGAAGGAGCTTTCCATTGAGATCACAAGTAGAGAGTAAGAGCCAAAAGGTTCAGTACACACATGATGTAAATGTAAATAAAATCATAATTTTAACAATAAGAGTTTGTTGTAAACTTTGCAAAACAAGTAATATGTGTGATATGTGATGTAAAGAGGGTAGCTACAGTCACATTTCTACAAACAGAATCGTCAAGTTAGAGCAAAATAATTGACCATAATAATTTAAATAATCAACTCCTACTGCTGTTGTGTCCCTGAGCAAGACACATAACCCAACTTTGCCCCAGCCTCGTACTTCAGCACAAGCCGACCCAGAGATGAACTTACAAAGGAGATGTAAATGAATGAATGAATTGAAATTCTTACAGTACTGAAAGAATAAATACTAATTCGTTCACCTGTTTGCCAGTACAAGGGGAGACTAAAACAATGCTTGGGTACATTTTGTGAGGAATTTAGTTATGAATTTCTTGTTTGTTCCAATGTATACAGCCTGATCCATCACGGAGGACACCACAAATCCTCGGGAAAATTTAACAAAATTTCACAAAAGTATACAGTATTTTATATTTGCTTCTTTATTATGCTAAATTTAGAGATTTTATTTCATATTAGTATAGAGTTATTGTTCATTTATCATGTGCTGTGTGATCCTTATTCCTACTTTCTTGTCCTTTATAATATGTTTTATGTTTTACAAATACAGCGTTGTTGATGTGGTCTTGGAGATTTGAACTATTTTACTTACAGCCTTCACACATAGAGGCAACACCATAACATGATTTTACACATTTCTAGCATCTGGCTTTAATCAGGGCATGTTATAATAAGACTTAATGTTAAATAAGTAAGGACAGTCAGAGGCAGAAGTAGGGCAATTTCTCTCCCTCCATCGCCTCAGCAGAGATCAGACTGCAGCAGGTCATTATCCTTTCATTAAGCCATGTCTCCTCCACCACTGCAGCGACTCCCAGGACAATTCTGCTCAGAGTTTTTCCTCTTTATAAACAGGGGAAAGGGCCAATATGTTTGCCCCTAGCTTGAGATAGAGACAGCTCCTGTGGGCATTGAAACAGGCTGAATCATGCACGCCTGGAGTTGGGCATGTCCTCTCTTGACTGCGTTCACATAACACCACAACTAAAACACGGAGTGGTAAAAATCAAGACTGGGCGGAAGGTCAGAGTTGAAAAAAATGCAGTGGTTTTGTCGGTGTTTTGTCAATTGGGCTACAGAAAATTACGTACAAGTCTATACAGGCTTTGCGGGCAAGCATTTAGTATCTGTATTCTCACAATTTAATAAGATTTAATATTTCAGGGTTTTTTTATTAGTATTTTTAATGTGTTTTTAAGCATAATCCCTACACACACACACACACACACACACACACACACACACACACACACAAATACACAGACATATGGAATAAAAGAAGAAGAAAGAAATCATACTAGACAGACACACAATACCTTACTCATGAATCCTCATCCTCACAACTGCAGTCTCACTCTCATACACGCACGCACTCACACACACACACACAAGAAAGGAGGGGCCCACCAAGCTTACATCTACAAATTTCACATTTTTTTCTTTTACTTTTATTGCAATTTCAAACATAGTCCCTGCACATACATACCCTGCACATATGGAACAAGAGAATAAAAAAACAAGTTAGACACACAAGACCTTACTCATGCATCCTCACAACTGCAGTCACGCACACACACACACACACACACAAACACACAAGGACGGGCGGCACCCACTAAACTTACAAATACAGATTTCACATTTTACATGAGCATCCACAAATGTCCACTTGACTGTCTAGTGAAATATTTCTTATTGCTTCAGAAACAAATAAGGTAAACTATTTCTTATTTTTTATGTTATTATTTTTGATACAATTTTAAACATAATCCCTACTTTCCCTGCACACACACACCAAAGGGGAGGGGCCCACCAAACTTACACATGATGTAATATTCTCTATAGAGCATTATGTGCGTTTGTTTGTATGTCTGTTCAAATATCACTAATATCTTCAGAAACTCAGCTTCTCACACACACACACACACACACACACACACACACACACACACACACACACACACACACACACACACACACACACACACACACACACACACACACACACACACACACACACACACACACACACACACACACACACACACACACACACACACACACACACACACAGAGACAGAGTGAGTATTGTCTCTATCCCTGAGCGGAATTTCAGTCATATGTTCATAAAGTTAAGTCAATTTGTGCCGTCACCAATATCTAATAATCTAATTTCCATCAAACAGGAGTCGTTTTCAATCTGGCTTCATCAAATAGATTCATAAATTCTCCATTCTCACTCTCATGAACCACAGATTTACAGAACATGGCTTTGCTGAGGGTAAAATCTGCTTTTCTTCCAAAGATAAAACGTGTCATGGGCAACAAAGATGACATTTGAATTGTATAAGTATTTGTTGTTTTGCTGTAATAGTCACCCTTCTCTAGTCCTTACTCATAGGGCGTGGTGCTGAAGCTGATGTCCGTCTCGCTGCTGTGGAAACTGTTGCCAGGAGACTGCAGTTGTGGAGGTTACAGGAAGTGAGGCTGGAGTGGGCGAGCGAGAGCAGATGATGAGGGGAGAGAGAGGGGAGGGGGAGCTGGGGGGTGCTACATAATTGATAGGAAGTTTGAACTGCCCCAGTGACCCCCGATATCTTCACTCTGTTCACTCGGCGTGAGTGATCGGTTCTGAATAGTATTTATGGACAGGATTTCAGACGTGTGTGTATAAAGGGCCCGCAGGATTTCATCTCACCAGGACCTACAACATGCACTGGGACGGGTATAATAATAATAATAATAATAATAATAAAATAGATATTATATTTGTGTGGCACTTTTGAAAAATAATGTGTACAAAAAGCTGCAGAGTTAGAATAATAAACAATAAAAACAGTCATGATAATACAAAGGCAAAATATTTAGAATAGTAGATACAAGAAGACAAAGGCGACAGAGGAGACACAAGATGAAAGTCAAGACAAAGACAAAGCAGACTGTAAAATACAACATGTGAGGTTTAAAACTGACAGTTAAAAGCTGTTCGGTAGAAGTGGGTTTTAAAAAGTGATTTAAAAGAGGATAAGCTGTGATTCTCCAAATGGGTGAGACAGGTCCTTCCTCTGGGATGAAGCACGAGATTTACAGATAAAGCTCTCACTTTGGTCACAAGTTTTCTGTTATATTTCTTGTGTTTGAACAGTTTGATTCTCAGATCTGTGTTGTGTAAAGTCCTCTGAGATCATATCTGTTGTGATTTAGGGCTATACACAAGAATACATTGAATTATATTGAAGTTTTGGGTAATCCCAGGAAAGACAAAATCCCTAATACAAGCCGTTGAAATGTTTTTTTGCCTAATAGTGTTGCTTTTCCCATAGAGCACAGGTGTCAAACTCAAGGCCCGTGGCCCAATTGCGGTCCGCCGGACAGTTTTCAGTGGCCCCTGTAAAGATGTGACTAACTTGCAGCATTGGTAGTATAGTTAACATGAGCTATTTTGGCCTGTTATACCTCATTTTAAAGCAATAATCATCTCAAGAAACCAACCATAAAATGTAGTCTATTCTAAAATTGGACCCCAACAGGTAATTTTGGCCTTTAATCCTTTAACTTTGACTCACTTTTGGTTCAGTCCAAAAACATTGTAACTGAACCGGCTTTTGTTCTGAAAAATCTACTATAAAATTATTTCCAAACTAAAGTTAAATTAAAGTTATCCTTTTGTGAAAATACCTTCATAAATTAAAACTATAAATAAAGATTTATTTAAAGATATAAATAAAAATATCCAGAGATGCAAAAATGAGCTTCAAACACTTTTATACTTTCGGCCCCTGGGAGCCAATATTATTTAAAATCCGGCCCAACCAAAATAATAAATATAATAGATTTTATTTATAGCGCACAGGTTACATATGCAAACATATCTCAGCGTGCTACAGCAAGTTAAAAACACATTGAATGAGGTAGACACACATGCCTTAGAGATAGAGTGAGGAGCTCGGTGTAGAGGCCCTGCTCCTCCAAGTCGAGTGGAGCCAGCTGAGGTCGCTCGAGTATCTGATTTCAGGAGGTGTTCAGGGAATGTTCCACCGGGAGGAGACCCAGAGGAGGACGCCGCTGGTCTGGGAATGCCTCAGGGTTCTCCCAGAGCAGAGGGAAATCTGGGAATCTCTGCTCAGATTGCTGCTTCAGGAAAAAAATGCCTCAATAAAAAAAAAAACAAAAAAAAAACTGTTAATCTCAAAGTGGTAAGAAAAGTTAAAAAAAAGAATGAGATTTGTAATTTTATGCTGTCATGGATTAACTTGTCATCTACTAATTTATCCACATTATATTCATTCAATTCTATTTATTTTTTAATTAATACATTAAGAGAATATAAAAGCCCTCGTAGAGCACAGACCTACCCCAAGAGGTACATTTACACCTCCAGCATGGTGAGTAGGAGTCATGTGTTCCAAGTCTCATTTCTGAAGGTTTTGGGAAAATCTATCTTTAATTTTGTTTTTTTTAGATGTTTTAACAGACAAACAAACAAACCCAGGTGATTACATTATCCCGAATGAGAAGTCAAAATAAAACCACACAAAAACTGTCACATTGTGGGTATTGGATGACGGTCAGAGGGTTGAGAACAGGTTAATAAATCTGTTTACATTCCCCTCAACGCAGAGCTCATGAAATTGTCTAACAGCTTTTTGGAATGAGGCTGCATACATCTCCATAGTTTATATACGTACTTTTTTTTTTCCCATGCGACCAATCAAAGGACAAGCAGAACAATATATATGTAAAACTGGTGTATGGCCTATCAGAGCAAAATGAGCCAAAAGGTCAAATTTAATGTTATAACACAGTGGTGAATCTCAAGCCAATCCAATATGAAAAATACTGTTATTTTAGAATTGGATTACTGTAAGAAATTATGAAATACGTTTAAAAAAAGCTGTCAAACCAAAGATTAAAACCTCAATACTGTTTAGCTCCATCTGCTTTTTCTGACAGAAGTGAAAATATATTGAGTCGTATTTATTTTTATGGTGCATTTCACAGACTAGTAACACAAGGCACTTTATCAACATACTGCACCCGTTTTTAGTCGTAGGGGAAATCGGAGCACTTGGAGGAAACCTACACAGACACAGGGAGAACATTTAAACTCCAAACATTTTGCATGTTCTCCCTGTGGTCTGGAGATGGACACCCAGGACCTTTCACAGTGAAAAACCAGCACTAACCACTCCCCTTACTCAGCCAATCAACTCTCAGCCCAAAATATCAACACATATAAAACATTTGGATCATATAAAAAGACCAGACATGTCCAAGTCATATTTACAGAAATTTATTTATTATGTTGCAAACAATGACATCCAGATATATTGATACACAACTTGTACTGTGCGTGTGTGCGTTTGTTTGTGTGTGTGTGTTCTCGTGTGTGTGTGTGTGCGTGTGGTAGTAGTTGAGAAAAGCGGTGATACCACAGAAGCAGATGGCCGTCCGCGTGTGGAGGCCCTTCGATGGGGTTTTTGAACAAGGCAGAGTAGTAGTAGTAGAAGTAGTAGTAGTAGTAGCGAGCACTGGGGCGACAGATCACCCAGGAACAAAAAAAAAAAAAAAAGTATACAAGCACACAAAAACCTTTCCCCTGTCGAAACGCACTCCTGCTTTTGGGCCCGAGTTTTTGTCAGCAGCGCGGGGCAGCTTAAGGTCCTGTGAGTGTTCCTACTACAGTATAAAGCATTAAAACAGATGGATTTGAAAGAGACAAAGTGGACGAGAAGCTACGGTAAGTTTCTCCTGTCGTATATATCAAACGCTCCGGCGCACACACACACCATGTTAGCCTGATTCTAAAGCTCTCATCAATTTTCCTTTTAAAAAAAACAAAAAAACAACCTAATCCTTTCGTTCATTTTTACTTTAACCATTTCTGTGTCCTCTCATCCACGCAGCACAATGAGATCATGAAAAGCAAAAAAACCTCAGCCTCCGCTTTAGAGAGACTTGCGCTTTTGTTTTTTCCCCGTTGAAACCATATCTTTTTTTTTTTCGTTTTAACATTTTTTTTTTCTTTTTACACCCTTTGACCAAGATGGGAAGTCGTGTGACAACAGTCGGCGATTCTGTCAACTCCAACACTATACAAATCTCAAGTTTGATTCACCATGCAAAGGAATACTTCTTTTATCTTTTTCGAGTGTGTTCGTGTGTCAGAGACTGCGTGACATTTATTAAGCGTACCCTACATCCAGAATAATTTACATAAAAGGACAAGTCATCGTAAGGGCTGGATCGTTGTTAGAGAGGAAGAGAGAGGGAGAGAGAGAGAGACGGGCGAGGGAGGAGGATGAGTGCCACGGGTTCGGGACAGGAGCAGGTGGGGATGAGTTTGGGGGCGGGGCAGAGGTAAGGTGGGAGGAGCCTCAGCGGCACTCCCACACTTTGACTGTCTGATCGACGCAGCCCGTCACCACGAAGGGGGCAGTCTTGTGGAAATCTGCGGACGAGAGGAGTTTGATTAGTAAACACACAGAGAGTACTTTCTTCATGAGCTTTGTGAGACAGACAAACAGAGACCGACAGAGAGACTGCAAGAGACTTTGAGAAAGACATAGTGAGAGAGAGACAGAGAAAGAGACTGAGAGATACTAGACAGAGAGACTGAGAAAGTCAGAGAGTCAAGAGTCAGACAGAGAGACTGTGTGTGAGAGACAGAGACAGAAAGAGATACTAGACAGAGAGACTGAGTAACAAAGACACAGAGACGGACAGAGAGAGAGAGACTGAGTAACAAAGACACAGAGACAGAGACAGAGAGACACAGACAGACAGACAGACAGAGAGACTGTGTGAGAGACAGAGACAGACAGAGACAGACAGAGAGAGACAGACAGAGACAGACAAAGAGAGACAAAGAGAGACAGAGAGAGACAGAGACTTACCCAGAGAGGTAACAAAGTGATCGTGGGCAAACAGAGTCTTCATGCAGCGTTTGTTCTTGTAGTCCCAGATGCGTAGAGTTTTGTCGTCGGCGCAGCTCACAATGAACCTGCCGCCGGGATGCACCACCACGCCACGCACCCAGTTATCGTGGCCCACCTGCGGCAGTGCGATAACCATGGCGATCAGGACAACCAATCAGGGCAAGCACACAACACTGTCCACGAGCGTCACTCACCAGAGTCATGAGGCACATGCCGGTGCTCACGTCCCACATCTTTATAGTTTTGTCTCTGGATCCGGAGAGCAGGAATGGTCCGGGCTTTCCACTCTTTTTGTTCTGGAAAAAATCAGAGGAGCAGAAGAAGTCACGCTCCAGACACCTTTAACTTTGTGTGTTTCATAAAATATTCTTTATGTATAATTCACTAAACATCCATCAACATACTTTCAACAACAACAAGCTAGCCTGGTTTTACGGCGCCATAAATGATGAATAATAATGAGCCCTGAGGTGCGCCATCGCCGTGACAATACAGAGCCGGCGCCGTGGCGACCGCCTGCACTTTGTGCGCATTTGTTGAAAAGGTGCGCTGGAGCATGAAGGAGGTGCAGCCGAAAAACCTGAGCGTCCCGTGTGTGTGTTTGTGTGTGACTCTGACTCAATAGTAAAGGCCAAAACAAAGTCACTGAGGTCACAACAACAGCAGGAGGCTCCAGAGTCTCATTCAAGTAAGTCTACACTACTGCCATAACTCTCACAATTCAATTCTCTATATTTACAAAACTTTAGTCTTACTAGTCATACAAGTCAGACACATTGTGATTTTTAAAGTCTGTAGGTGCTTTGTAAAAGGGAACTTCAGGGTATCTGCATTAGCTTACAGAGAGGGCCCCAAAACAATACATGTAAACAAATGTCAGTTTGAGTTTGTACTCTTCAGTTAATTTTTTACAGATAGCAACGTAACTTGTGACAATGTTGCTTTTCATTTCTATGATTTCTAATTTAATTAAATTCAATTTAGAGCCATTGGTCCATAATGGGGCAGATGACCAGTGTACAAAAATGTTGTTGACTGTCCTGGATCATCACCACTGTCCTGACCATCGGAAAGGAAAAACTCTTAACCCTACTCTTAACTGTTTCAATCATGTAAAGAAGCTATTGTTGAACATTAAGCTGTACATTTGGACTCTCCACATACACACACCTCTGAGCCGGTGGCCTCCAGGATGGTGGGGTGGGCACTGTCCGGGGCCCAGGAGATGCACTCCACCACGTGCTCGTGCTCCCGCAGCTCGGCTTTACACTCTTTTGAGGCGACCACCCACACGCGCACCGTCTGGTCGTTGGAGCAGCTGGCGATCAGAGAGCCGTCCTGGTTCGGACGCACCATCCGCACCCACTCCCTGTGGCCCGTGAACGTCTTCACACAGTATCTGCACACAGGGTTCAGGTTCATAAGTAACTAAACACAGGATTCTAAAAGACTAATGTCAAACAACTTTACATCTGTGTGTTGCAGAAGGAGACACTGATGTTGAATTGATTTAAAGTGTTGGACTGATGTAATTCCTCTGATCTTTTGTATTAATGTGTTCTGACGTCTCAGACTCACCCTGTGGCCACCTCCCACATCTTCATGGTCTTGTCTCTAGACGCAGACACGATGTGGTCTCCGTTTGGCATGATGGCTACAGACGACACGTTGTGGTCGTGCCCTGAAAATAAAGTCAACAATTTCAGTAACTTTCAAATAAAACTATAATAATAATTAATTCCCACAGATCTAAACTGTTTCTCACCGTGCATTGTCCGGATGCACTCGAAGCCCTGAAAGTCCCACAGTTTGATGCTCATGTCGGCAGAACACGAGGCCAGGAGCTTCCCTGTCATATCGAAGGAAATGTCCTGCACCGAGTCTGTGTGGCCTTTCAGAGTGCGCTCGAAGTCCCCCGCCTCGTAGTCCCACACCTGCAAACATGCAAACATCAGGCTTTTGTACTTTATACATTGATATAGAAATTGTACCAAAAGCACCATTTAGACACAACACGTCTCCATCCAAGAGAAAAGCTTTATTTGCAGTGAAAAAGACACATTAAAAAGCTTTGGTCAAAAACACAAATCTGATGCAGACTCAGACTTCCCTCTCCACACACTTCCTCCAGCTCATTCCCAGCTGGGGACAGTCCCTACAATAGTTTCACCTGGGTCTCTGCCTGGAACACCATGGCATCCAGGAGAAATCCCAAAATGCCTGAGCCACTTCAACTGGCTCCTTGGCATGGAGGCGCAGCGGCTCTACTCCATGATCTATTATATTAAATACGATGAGACATTCCTTATATTAGTTGCACATTTATGTTTTTGCAAGACATTGTTTAACAAACAAATGTAAACACACTGGAGAAGAATCTCACAAGATCTGGTCCCATCCTGAGGCAACAGAAGAATGACCCCAGTGTTACCTCTGGAGGAGGCCACAGTTGCCCCAGAGTCTAGAAACAACCAGGACTTTACATTTACATCAGAGCATACTTTGTCGCTTATCGTCATAAGAATAAAACAAGGCAGCTGAACCAAATCAATGCACTACAGCTCCATGTTCTCATGACATCGTCGGTGTAGCTCAGACAAAGACTTATCTGTAAATCACTAATGAGCACAGGCCACAAAAGGTGAACATTTCATTCTGTGTAAAACACTTCCTGCTGAGGCAGTATTCTGCTGAATCAATAAAAGTCGAAAATAAGACGTATAGTTCAAACAAACTGAGTTGCAAAATGAGAAGCCTCCAACTTGCATCAGTTCATCCACAGAGCAGCAGTCGGACCAGAACCACCAGAACCAGCAGAGGACGTCATGACTCATCAAAAGATGTGTCTTCATTAAACTAAAACTATTAATCACAAAGTAGTACAGAATGTATAACTCCCAAGTCCACATAAAGGGACTAGTGACTTCTGAGTGAGACACTCCTGAGTTTACATCTAAAAAGGCTTCATGTACAATTTGACACAATAATCTGAGCATGTGCTGTCCCCTCGTAAAAGCCACTGAATGCAAATATTTCACTTCTTTCCCAGTATTATTTAAAGTTGTTTTTACTGAAGTCCTTCCCTTTCCGACATCTCGCAAGCGAGTTTTTCTACATAGCACATGGCGAGTCTCAGGTCTGCATTCTTCTGCAGACAGCGTTCACTACTATACACTACTCCTGTCCATTGATCCGTTTACTGGTTTAGCCAAACTGGAAATTGTCCACTTGTCCACTGCCTGGAAATTTGTCGAATTTCATGACTGTTTCTCATGTTCGTACAAATCCTGCAGTGGGAGTGACTCAGCTGTGGTCAGAGGAGTGAGGGGATCAAAACCGTTTCTCATTTCTCTCTGAATATAAAATAACTAAAAACTAAAAAAGGTAAAAACCACTATAACATGGACAAATGCTGAAAAGTCTGTCATTCTGCAAGACACAGACCTTGATGGTGGCGTCTTCGGAGGCCGTGACCATAACGGAGAAGACGGGATGGAAGATGACGCGTGTGACGGGGGCACGGTGTCCGCTCAGGGAGTACTTCTCTGGGGGACGTGGGATCCACTCTTTGGGGTCCCTCTTCTGCCCCACCGGCCCCCCGTGGGTCATCTCCTCTTTTGCCTCGTTGAGCTTCGACTCTAGCTCCATCACCTGCAGAGACACAGCACAGGGATCACGTCAAAGTCTTTCTCCACAAACTCGACTTGTGCTCGTTCTGGAGTACGACCTTCTGATCAAATATAATAATAATAATACATTTTATTTATAATGCACTTTACATTTGACACCAAATGTCAAAGTGCTACAAACAGCAGCATAAATAAAAGCAAACACATAAAATCAGATAAAAGACTAAAAAAATTAGCAGTACGCTTTAGTAAAAAGATGGGTTTTGAGTCCCTTTTTAAAAGCTTCCACCGTCTGTGGGGCCCTGAGGTGGTCCGGGAGGGCGTTCCACAGACTGGGAGCAGCGGCCTCGAAGGCCCGGTCCCCCAAATATGGCTTTTACCTTTCTAAGGGTAATGAAAGTGCCTTCATTTAAGTTATTGTACTAAAGCAGTTGAGTTCAATTTCATATTAAGAGTTTTGCCTTGCCGATGCAGGAGGGTCAAAGGACAGTAGTGCAAATCCAGGACACTCGACACTTACCAAAATGTACGGACATTGGTCATCTGCCCTTTATGGACCAATGGCTTTGTCTGTTTATTAATCGGTGCATTTCTTGAGTTTGAACTGTTTCATTCTCTGATCTGTGTTGGCGAATTCATCGGTTTTGTTAAGTCCTCCGAGATAACTACTGTTGTGATTTAGGGCTGTACAAGAATACATTGAATTGAAAGTCCTCTGTTATGTGCAAACTTTGGAACCTTCTTACCTTCTTTTGTAATCTGATGACTGAGGTCCATTTCTTTTCCAAAAGACCAGCATACTTTTTATCTATCTCTTCATTCTGTAATAGAAAAACATAAGAATGGAGATATTTGTATTAAAACTGCTATATTAAAATGAAACTGCACCAGAGTGTGTATTCGTACCATATCTAACTCTGCCTCTTTCTTGAAGGTGGAATAAGCCTCCTCGTATCCATTGGAGCGGAGGTAGTCAGCTATCGCCCGGTTTCTGAAAAACAAGACAACACATTATTAGTTTTGTTCCGATGAATATTAATGAAGGAGCAGTTTGCAGCTGTATCCAGTGACCGCGCAGAAAACCCCAGCGCCACCTTAAGAACAAAGCCTCCTTAAAAAGGGAGGGCCACACCCTGCAGACATGGGACCTCTGGGAGTTTGTGGTTCAGAGGTGGAAAGTGTTGAGCTTTGGCGCAGGCAGCTGACAGGACGACCACAGACTCAGACACCCACTGGCTACGAGTTATGTAAAGAGTGGAGTGGAGTTTATGCGTCAGGAGTTGAATATTTCATAAGTGAAGTTACTAATTTTAGACTTTGCAAAGATTTGGAGCAGAGCTGATATTTAACCACGAGCCCCGAGGTGGAACATTAACAACCGGATTAAAGCATGAACCGTCCACTCGAACAAACACAAGAAACTGCGTCTGTGTTAAGAAGAAGAGAGACGCCACGTCCAGTGATTACGCATCAGTAAGAGACGGTAATGCAATAATAAACATTAACAGTGAAAGAGTTCCACTCGGCATAAAACTGATCTAACACATTATGAATGACGAGATGAAAAATAATAACTTAATATGCTGTGACATCACACACTTCAGAGTGAGCAGCCAATAACCAACCAGTGATCTTTGGAAAATAAATAATGTGCACAAATATAAGCGGAAATAAATGAATCCAATCACTAACGTATTTTTATGGTTTTTCAGTTCAACTTCAAAAAATGAATGAATCACAAACATTCACCTTTTCTAATAATAATAATAATAATAATAATGATCCAGACAATCTTTATTAAAGATGCACCTTTTTAAGCCGCTATGTGGGTTAACAAAGCACAAAGCACCTCCTGCAGGCCCCACTCTGGGCACCACTGTTTTAGACTTTAACCTAAAGTCATTTATTTTTCATAAAAGACCTTTTAGTTTCCATTTCTTAAACTGTTATATTTCTACTTTTTGTTTTAAAGTGCACGGTGACTAGGACTGGGCGTTATGGCAAAAAAGTAAAATCTCGATTTTATTTCCTGCTTTGACGATTTCGATTTTAAAATTAAATTTTTCATTAAAGTTTGCCCTTTTTTTTATCCCCCAATACATAATATAAAAGTCTTGTACAGACTGTGCTGATATTGCAAGTATAATTTATGTGCTGCTGGAACTCTCAAAATATTTCCATTTTCTCGATTTTCAAATTTTTTACAAATTTGATTTTTTCAAAAGCCGATTAATTGCCTAAATTCGATTTATTGCCCAGCCCTAATTGTGACTATACATGTGATAAATAAACTCAGTATAAAACACAGACGCAGCACTAGCATCGACTGATATTGATTGTATTGGTTTTAGTGCCGTGTCTGAGGGAGATTAGGAGAGAGTTCTTGTATCTGAGCCCATTTTTTAAATCCAGACGTGAACTCAATATTCTATTGGAAATACTTTGTATTTGGTTAAGTGGGTCCCATCAGCCATCACCGCACTCCCCCCCCCCCCCCCCCCCCCATCACCGTAGTACTCTCCCCCATCATCGTCGCTGCAGTAACCATGAACTTGACTTACGTTCAGGAGCATTTTCGGAGCACTTACATTTTCACAGCGGGTTAATTAAATTAGCCTTGTTATCTACTGCAAGTTTAATCGCACACTGGGCAGATTCCTCCACAGCGCCGCATTAAGCAGCCCCTCCCTCCCCGAGTTCTGTCATGAGGTTATGAAATATTCACAGAGACGCCGTCAAGTGAAGCACATCTGTTCAGCGGCGACTACACGTCCAGACCTCGGTTCAACACGATTGTGACAAAAAGCAAAACAATAGACAACAAGGCGCCACACGTCTCCAATAAGAAATGACTGAGATGAGTTTGGCCCCAGATGAACTAGAGACAAAGGACGTCCTTCGAATGGCTGCCCACGGTATTAGTAATAATCTGATGCTACGCTAATATTTCAGAATAGATGCATATTTGAAGTATTAGGAAAAAAACACTGGATGCCATCTTTCATGTGGAGCCCTTTGCAGAACTAAAAGACAACAGTACATAACACATTTTAAAAAAATCAGTATCATCTTTAGTGTTGTGAAAGAAACTGACATGTTACTAATATGTTGCATTCCAGGTTTTCTGAGAGCCCTGAGAACAATTTTGACAAATAAAACACAAAGCCAATGTTTTACTGTTTCCAGTCATGTTCCAGCCAGAGTTTGGGGTCACAGGCTACAGCCATAGATCATTTTAGAAAATCCAGTAATCTATTAACTTTTCCACTTCCTGCCTACCTATACATTACATATGGATACGGGACATTTTAAACTAAAGTATGATTCATAATATACAAGGAGTTCTGTGTATAATAAAGCTACAATTGATTTTCAACGCCACATTTTCATAATAATTTTTCAGCTACAATATCATAGTTTATAATCGCAAACACCCCTTTTACAACCCAGACGGAGTTTATAATGGTCTGGGAAATAAAGCACTCGACAACACAGCTGCACTGGGGACAAATCCAACTAGAAAAGTAGGATCCAGTCTTTAACATTAGACACTGAACCATAAAAGTAAAAGTTGCACTAGTTTTTGTCGTTTGAAGGACAGTAACGTGTTGACTGCCGTGTTCTCCGCTGTGTCATAGTGTGGAGAGCATACTCACAGTTCGTCTCTCTGTCTCTGCGACAGCACCATGGCTCTGTGGCCCCTCGGGGGAGTGAGGCCAGGGGCAGGAGCTGGAGCGGGGAGCACAGGGGGGAGTCTACAGAGGAGCAGGGGCTGAAGGGATATCGCGCCGTCAATCGACCAGAGGTATGGGCTTGACGACTGCTCACCAATTAGACGCTCCCATTGCCTGTAGAGGAGAAAGCGGAAGGGAAGTTTAGATTTTTAAAGTACAAACACGTAAAATAGCAGATCAGTGATGAGCTAATAGAACCTTTATTTGTCCCACAGGAGGGAAATTTCAATGTTGCAGCGCACAAACAGGACAGTAAGAGCACACAGGGAGCACACAAAATACAATATAAGTAGCTGCTCTGTTTCTTAGCTGTCAATTCACTAACTGTGTTCAGAGCTCAGTCTTCACATGGGAAATATTCTCCAGCTAAAAAAATGGAGCTTTCTATTTGTTTGATGAAGAGCAAAGGAAGCATACAACAGGGAGAGGATTGGACTGAAACGACGTGTCATAATTTAATAACTTCAGATGAATTATGTGAAGAGGTGAACGTTTATTACAGATGCATCAGTCACGGTGCTTCAGGTCTGTCTCCCACACTCACATAAGAACAAAAACACAGCTCAGAATGGACATTTGGTCACGAGGTTGTTCATTTATCTCTCTGAACGATGTGTCCATGTGTCACCAGCTAAACCAAAACCAATAAACGTGTATTTGAATAACGCACCTGCAGGTATACAGCTCAATTTAATGCAGATGTCCTGCTGAAGAACTGATGCACTCAAACGTAACTCTTCAGCAGCGCCCTGGATTCACGTGGACAACCTTTACATTAGTTTAATTAAATCTATATCCAAAATCGATTACAATCAAGGCATGTGCTTCTAAGACAATTAGAACCGGACACTAGACAGTTCTGTGTAGGTCAGTAACAGCAGCAGCAGGACTCATTTAATCAGATATGCAAATACATGGATAGCATGGGAATGTCTAGTTACTTAAAAATGTATAGAGGAGGATTTCCCCAAATATTAGAGAAGAACCGCCTTCTCATTTGAAGAGCACATATCACCAGAATGATGGACAATTGGGAGGTCCACCTGGAAGTAGTAATTTTTTAAAGGTATAGGAGGATTATCTAACATTACAGCATATTATGGCAATTAAAAAGATGAGAATGCTTACTTGATTCATTTATTTCTCATTCTAAAGCATGAATTGAATAAACATGAAGGTAAAACATACTTCCGGCTTTTAACTCCCTATAATTAGTTTTTGGACACTCAAGATATGCTTCACGCAGCATTTCACTCCCTACACATAAGTGTTTAACTAAGGCTGGGCGATATAAACGGTATAAGTGGTATAAGATATAAATTTGGCCCACGGTAGAGATTTTTGTTACACCGGCATATTGCAATAGGTCATTATGTCATCAAATTGCGCAGGCTCTGACGCCAGCAGAAAGGACCAAAACAAACCGGCATTCAGCAGCATTAGCCTAGCACACACCACTGGAAACAACGAACAACAGCACGGCATTCACACCGTGTTTCTGTCTCTGTATTGTTGTCACAGCGGCCCCAGCAGAGGGCCGCCCGAAAGTATTCGGCCCCCTTGAACCTTTCAACATTTTGCCACATTTCAGTCTTCAAACATAAAGATATAAAAATCTAATTTTTTTGTCATGAATCAACAACAAGTGGGACACAATCGTGAAGTGGAACGAAATGTATTGGATAATTTAAACTTTTTTAACAAATAAAAAACTGAAAAGTGGGGCGTGCAATATTATTCGGCGCCTTTACTTTCAGTGCAGCAAACTCAGTCCAGAAGTTCAGTGAGGATCTTTGAATGATCCAATGTTGTCCTAAATGACTGATGATGATAAATAGAATGCACCTGTGTGTAATCAAGTCTCCGTATAAATGCACCTGCTCTTTGATAGTCTCAGGGTTCTGTTTAAAGCGCAGAGAGAACCATGAAGACAAAGGAACACACCAGGCAGGTCCGAGATACTGTTGTGGAGAAGTTTAAAGCCGGATTTGGATACAAAAAGATTTCCCAAGCTTTAAACATCTCAAGGAGCACTGTGCAAGCAATTATATTGAAATGGAAGGAGTATCAGACCACTGCAAATCTACCAAGACCCGGCGTCCCTCCAAACTTTCATCTCAAACAAGGAGAAGACTGATCAGAGATGCAGCCAAGAGGCCCATGATCGCTCTGGATGAACTGCAGATAACTACAGCTGAGGTGGGAGAGTCTGTCCATAGGACAACAATCAGTCGTGCACTGCACAAATCTGGCCTTTATGGAAGAGTGGCCATTTCTCAAAGATATCCATAAAAAGTCTCGTTTAAAGTTTGCCACAAGCCACCTGGGAGACACACCAAACATGTGGAAGAAGGTGCACTGGTCAGATGAAACCAAAATCGAACTTTTTGGCCACAATGCAAAACATATCGTTTTGCATTGTGGCCAAAAAGTTTGGCATAAAAGCAACACAGCTCATCACCCTGAACACACCATCCCCACCTCAGCTGTAGTTATCTGCAGTTCATCCAGAGTGATCATGGGCCTCTTGGCTGCATCTCTGATCAGTCTTCTCCTTGTTTGAGATGAAAGTTTGGAGGGACGGCCGGGTCTTGGTAGATTTGCAGTGGTCTGATACTCCTTCCATTTCAATAGAATTGCTTGCACAGTGCTCCTTGAGATGTTTAAAGCTTGGGAAATCTTTTTGTATCCAAATCCGGCTTTAAACTTCCCCACAACAGTATCTCGGACCTGCCTGGTGTGTTCCTTTGTCTTCATGGTTCTCTCTGCGCTTTAAACAGAACCCTGAGACTATCAAAGAGCAGGTGCATTTATACGGAGACTTGATTACACACGGGTGCTATTTATCATCATCAGTCATTTAGGACAACATTGGATCAAAGATCCTCACTGAACTTCTGGACTGAGTTTGCTGCACTGAAAGTAAAGGGGCCGAATAATATTGCACGCCCCACTTCAGTTTTTTATTTGTTAAAAAAGTTTAAATTATCCAATAAATTTCATTCCACTTCACGATTGTGTCCCACTTGTTGATTCATGACGAAAAATTAAAATTTTATATCTTTATGTTTGAAGCCTGAAATATGGCGAAATGTTGAAAGGTTCAAGGGGGCCGAATACTTTCGCAAGGCACTGTAAATACACACACAGTAATCACTGTTTAAGCGTCTACCTTTTGGCCAATCCGTGTCAAAGGGGCGTAGGCTCGAAGCGCCAGTGTGAGCCAAAATAGATCCATGCGTGTGCCGTGTCCGCAGCATCACAGCAGAAGTTTGGGAAAGTTAGCGTCAGATTTGGACCTCCGCGGTCAATATCTCACGAAAGCTACTTTGTTAAACAAAATTAATTGTGCCAAAATGATCATGTACATAAATTGTTCAAATCCAATGCGCTGTTTTAATGAACATAAACCCATTGAATCATCCAGTTCACTGCAAGCGCAGAGAAAAGTGCTCAGGGAGCGTCAACAAATGGCCAGCTTTGTAAACGAACAATAGCGTTTACTGAAGTCATGTACCTGCACAAAACTCTGACACTATAAATAATGACCATGTCTAACTCCTACAGACTTTGATTTCAACATTTGTGAGTTTTTTATATTTTAAATGAATGCATATGTTTTTCTTTTTAAAAATTGCTTTTACAGTGAATGGTATTTACTGTAACATACATAAATAATGTATGTTACAACATTTGTCTCTTTATTCGTCTCACAACTGATTTTCTAACTCAAAAAATATATATATTACATTCTAATATATAAATAAGTAACAATCTTGACAATTTTATGCAAGAACCTGCTAGACCTGAAATTCACACACCAAATTATACCGCAATATATACCGTCTGTATCCCAAATTTTACCGCAATATGAATTTTAGGCCATATCGCCCACCCCTATGTTTAACTACTACTGTAGCCACAGCTGCCTTGGGGCTCACTGACAGGAGCAAGGCAACCAGTATGTGTCATGGGCCCCTCCAACCACTCACGTAAACACCAGACTCATTCTAGGCAATGTGAGTGAAGTGTTTTGCCAATAAACACAACGACAGTCTGGCAGTTTCCACCTGCCCCATTGTGGCACCTTGTGTTCCCAGAGGTCTCTCATCGCAGTACTAACCAGGCCCTGCTCTGCTTAGCTTCAGTTGTTTGACAGGATCTTCACATGCAGTTAGCACTTCACAACCGGGAGGAGTTGAATTTGTTTGACAATTACAGGCTGCAAACAAAGTCATGTGTTTGTAAAGAACATATTTTCTCTTGAGAAATTGCAAAATGAATTCATGGGCCATACTTTGTATTAAAGGGGAGAGTGTGATGTCATAGTGCTACAATGACATCATACAGTAGAGCTAAAGGGCGCAGTTCAGGTGTGTACCAGAAGATCCTAATATTTGTTTAAACACAACTCCAGTTTTAGATGAACAATGTTGAAATATCAGTTTCCTTTCAAATAACAATACTTGGTGAATGTTGTATTAAACAGATAGATGCACGATAAAAGCCTCTGCATCACGTTTATGCCTCACAGACGACCACCGTGAGTCTGTGGCGATGGTCGCGTGGCGAGGAGCAGTCATAGTTGTAAACAGTCACCTCTTGAGCACCACCTGGACCACAGTGGCACTAAGCGGCTTAATGAAGAGACAAAGACGCCCCGAGACGACGGCTACTCGGTGACAGAGAGCTGCAGACGGAGAGCAGCCGCTAACAGGATTAACGCCAGACACACGCCACAGCGTCTGTGGGTCAACTCCAGGCTCCTGTAGCACTTCTGATTCCAGTCAGCTCAGGTTCTACCGAATAAACACACAACCTTTTGGAAGGTAAAGCAGCTCCCGATAAAAACGAGAACTTCCACATCCGGAAGAAAGTTCAGTACGCATGAGATTATGATTTATGCTGAAAACAAGGAGCCAAGCCCCAAAAGAGGATTTATTTACTGTGGTATTGGAGCTTTCAGGACATTCATTAGCTTTGTACTTCACAAAACTGATCAATAAATTCGGATAACAATGAAAATATATAAAGCACCCTCTACTTTACAGTACAAATATAATCATAGACATTTTGGTAATGATGCAAACAAAGATTAATTACAATGCATTTGT